TTAAATTGATAGCTAAGCATTAGTTTTAACTTGAGGCTTTACAGACACACTATAATCTCCTTAAAAATCTAGGACATGAACAAAAATAAGAACACAAGTGAGCATACCACAGGTTATTATCTAAAATAACTTCAAATGTTGTGAAGGCCATGTGTGCAGTGATCCTTTTGTGATGGAAATTAAGACACACGGCAAATAAACACGGGCACAAGTAGTAACAGGATAATACTTCTTCTGTTCCATCACTTACTGAAGCATGCTGATGGGTCCCTGCCAACGGGCGCACGGGAGCGACGAACACTCTCACAGCTCGATCCAAAGAATGCACGTTTCCCTTAGGAAATGAAGGACTGCATCCCTGGGAAGGACAAGCTTAGAACACTTATGAGTCAAGGACAGTCGGTCATCTGAACACGCACTCCTAAGGCAACGTGATAGCCAAAAGGTGACTGGGATCAGTTGAACATGCTGGACAGCTCATGTTTGAGAAGATTCAAAATCCGGTTACTGTTTTTCAACATCAGAATGTTTTGATAAATAGTACACCAAAAAGCCTCTTCAGTGTTACCCCTCATTGTTTGCAGGTCTAGGTGCTGTACTTATTGCTCTTTATCGTACTTTGGAACTAAATATATTTACAGCACCACCAAACAAATTAAAACCTACTGAGAAGTGATCACACTCTTCACAGTACTGACCATCATTTCCACCAACTTATCTTTAATTTAAGATGAAAGCTGAAACCTTGGCCCTTTTGAAGTGAGCAGCAGAAATCCCATTGACTCAGGGGGGCAGGATGCCTTTGCAAAGAATTTCCTTCATTTCAAGTCTGAAGGGTTGAAGTTCTCGGATTACACAAAATGAGAAACAAAGAGTTTTAAATGATTTATTTGATTTCTCCACATGATCACAGTTATAGTTTTACATCAATAGGGTCTGTTACTACTTACAAACAGAATGCATATTAAAATGAAAGCACTCCTTTCTTCCCCATAGTTACAAAAGGGGTCTCAAGCCTCCCCAGAACAGAAGCTTCTTGTAAGCATAATGTTTTTTGAAGTCTTTTACAGTCTGCATTCAAGACCTAATTCTAACAGTTTAATACAACTCAAAGCTGATTTAAGTTCCTAGCAGGAGATAGGTACTGCAGGCAACCTCCAAGTGACTGCAGACTTATAGTAATACTAATTTACACACTATGTACAATTTAGAGAATTATCTATTCCCCCTACTGGTCCCATTTTCACCACCCCCTTTTCTCTTTTCCAAATTTTACCTTGTTATTGGTTCCACTTTTCTTTTAAATATATACACAATAATCCATTTTGCAGGCAAGAAGTGCGATGGTATTTTACAACGGAACAGCAAAATGCATGCTTAACTGCAGAAAACACACAGCTTCATGTGGAACAGCAAGTCAACATCTAGAGATTCATTGTTTAAATATCTGCTGACTGTCTTTCAGCTCATTTTATCAAGAAACAAGAGGCTTCTGCTGCATGCAGTACATGATGGGAAAAATCATTCTACACCGTATGTTAGACTTGTTTTTTTTAAGCAATACAAGACGCACATCATATTAGGATGAACTTTGTTTTTTGTTTTTACATTGTTGTACATTTCATTCTTAACTTAAAAAAATAAAACCCCCAAATATATATGATTGTTGTCCCAGAAAAGATTTTTGTTGCCACACCTTCATTCTTTACCTTTCTCTTTCATTTTCTCAAATCAGCATTACTTTGCCACATCATTTATGGGAAAATAGAAACATGGTCACTCAATGCAGTTCTGTACCAGTTTTTAATTGGCAATGGCACTTGAGAAAAAACCCTCTCGATTCCACTCCTGCCTGCAGGCTGAAAAAATTAATTTTCTTCACGCAGTGTTAAAGTACTGCCACTTTTCTATGCTAGGCATGATCCACACTGCTCTAAGCAATTGTTAATCAAGGACGGAGTCAGAGAGGTTATAATACAACCCTAAACAAGCAGCAAAGGTCTTAAGACTTATGCTGACACTAAGACACTTCTGTGTGTTTAAAGTACATACAAACATATAGTCTTAAAAAAAGGAAAAAATAAATAAAAAATCAAGTTCAGTGTTTCTCCTCATTGACTTGGAATAACAGAGTGTACAAACGCTGTGCTCTTATATGACCAGTTTTGGTTGTTAAACTAGCCTGAAAATGATCTGTGATTTTACACATGCAACCTAGAGGGCAGGCACAGAC